AAAAACGGTCAGTTACACGAATTAGAAATTTTTTATTTAATATATAAAATAAAGTGATAGGACATGTCACACGACTAATATATCTAATAAATGCCCATTTTGGTTCATCAGGATGATAATTAAATCATCACAACAAATATATTGTGATCCACCTTTTTTTTTGTATATGTTTAATTAAAATTAATTAAAGATGAAAAGTTTCAAACATTAGGCAAAAGGTCTTCTTTTTATAACAAAGAGAAATCTTTTTAGAGTCTTCCAAACCAATTTTTTTTCATTTTTTCACAAGCAAATCAATTAATCCATTCTCTCTTCAGAAACATGTAATCTCGGGGATGAGGAAGCAGAACAATCAAAATCTGTTTTATCTCCTGATCCATTAATTGGTCATCTTTCTTTCTTTTTTAACACTAAGTCTAAAATCTTGATATCGGTTTGAAAAAGTAAACAATCCAAAATCAGTTTTAGTGTTACAGCAATAAAACACAAAAGAAAAACGGAGCGATTCAAAGAAAACCATTTTATTATTATTATCCCAATCAAGTGGGCGGCAAAAGTATTTTGGTGTGTAAAAGATATTTCGTCAAATGGAGGACCTGTGACGAGTCTTCGCTATTTGGACTTGACATATTTGTTTTAATAATAAGGGAAAGAACAATCATTATTTCTCGCAGCTTAAACCGAACTTAACTGCCGTTCAATTAAATCGTTGTTAAACTGGTTCGAGTTGATCCCTAGCTCAGTGCTTATAATAAATGGATTTCTGACATGCCCTTTAACGGTCGCGTGCAGCATATCAGCTTCTTTCCAAATTTGAAGTAACATTTTTTCTATTTTTTATTTGTATTAATCTGCATTACATTCATCAACCATATTATCACCACCATCACCATCACCACCACCATCACCATCACCACCACCATCAACGTCATTACTATCAACGTCATTATTAATAGCATTATTATTCTCAACATCATCAACATCTTCAGTATTATTAGTATTATTAGTGCTGGGGAATAGGTTTCTCATAGCAACTTTATACACAGCATTATCTTTAGTTTGCAATTCCGAAAAGAATAATTTAGCGAGGTCGCTAATTCTCTGATCATCATCCCCTAAACATTTATGCATTTCGATAAGTTGATCTTTAGCTTTGATCATTCCATTAAGAATCAAATGTGTTAACACCATCAATGCATTCTTCTTAACCAGTGTGTTATCATCCGACAATCTATTATACAAATAATTAATATGCTGATCAATGACATTATTAAAACAAACTGTCATGTCACCCAACGCTATGATAATGTTACATTTTATTGTTGGATCGTTGGTTTTTTCCAGTATTGTGAATAGTAGTTGTAGATTGTCCTCACAGAATTTAGAACTGACACACATGAACTTGGTTAATGTTAAAGTTGATACTACTTGTAACATTTGATTCTGTTAAAAAAATTAAGAATTAATAAAGAGTAAATAATAATGACACTTATAAAAGAAAAGAAAATAAACTGACATTATAACTTTTGTTTATTGAACATATGTGTACTACTAAAGGTCCAAAAACTGATAACAATGAATCAGAGCCATAAAGAAGTTCTTGTTCACGAATATACATTAAAACTTCATATATATCATCTTCACTGGTTCCTGTCACTTGTTCTAATTCATCATCTATAGAATTCGTTGAACCCTTATGTTTGCCTAATTCAACTTTTTGTCTTTTCCATTCCAATTCAATCGCTTCCAGATGGACTATCTGTTTGATCGCTACATGCCCTGCAATAAATATAAGTTGACTTAATTGATTTGGATCTCGCATAAATGCTTCGGGTGTTGATGAATTCTCTCCCTCGCCTGCCATGTCAATTTCCATATCATCGTCAGAATGTTGTTTAAGATCAAACAATTTTACCGTTTTTCTTTTGATAATTTCAGCACATAAAATATCGGGTTGTTCACAAATTAAATAAATAGTGTTGATAATTTGTTCGGCCATTAAAAACCTACATAATAATAAAAATATTAATAAATATTATGATGAATGTTACCAAGTAATGATAATGCTATTATAGATTAATAATACTTACCAATAATTGGATGAAGTTTGGTATTCAATCATATGTATTAATTTATTAAAAATTGAATGTGAAATTGGAAATTTTTTTGTACTATGGTTCAAAGATCCTAATATATATAAAAAGTTATATAAATATATATGCGCGTGTGTGTTTGAAGGTGCAGTAATTGGTTAAAAACTTTACCTTTAACTTTTTTTTTATTCTCTGCGAGACATTGCAATGCAATACATGTATACTTTGCAAGGATTAAATCAGCCTTAATAATAAATAGATTATAATATATATAATATGATTATTATAAACATATATTTAAAAATACCCCATTTTAAACTTCAACTGACACTTACTTTACCAAGTGGTCCTAATCCAATTTTTAATAATAAATCTATTTTTTCTTTTACAATATCAATCTTACCATTTGCCAACATGCTTAATATAATTATAGCACCTCTTCGACGAGATTTTGGTATATCTTTTTGTGTGGCTATCATTCATATATATGTGTGTGTGTGTGGAAGAAAATTAATGTTTTTTTTTTAAAAGAAAAAATTTATGACATCTTTACTATAAATTACTACTTACAATAAACTGACCATAATTTGGCAATGACTTCTTCTGATATAGCATCTTTCTCATTCATTATTATGCTCAGCAGTTGTTCAAGTGAAGTTAATTCAGCAAGCGTTGCATTAATTGTCAAACTGTTTTATTTTATATAACGTAAAAAAATAGTTAAAACCCCATCTTTTATGTAAATAACATATGTAAAATGAAGGATCACCTTATTAAATTTTTAGTTATCTGATTAGCCTTTTCAGCGGGGCTTATCATTTCAGTTGTTTCAAGATACATTTTTATATAACTTTCAACCAACCGATTTTTGACACCTTTACCCTCATCATTATTATCATTTGTCCAAATTAAATGTAACATCTTGCTAATTCCTTCAGAAGCAAATTCCATTTTATACGTATGTGCCGTCTCAAAAAAGACAATTGTTTCAAGCACCTCTGATTTTGTGGTGGAAGCAAGCAGTTGACACAAAGTAGGAATAGCGGTGTGTATCTGATTAATAAATCTAATTGCGTCTGCATAGTATCGTCTAGTAAGCTGAAGCCTTGCGAAATCATCCCTAGATATGGTTTGTTGATTTGAATCTGTCATTATGACATCATTATTTCTTTCACCTAAAGGATCATTATTATCATCATCGTATTCATCATTATCTAACTCTGTATTAATTTCTTGAAGCTCTGGTGGAGCTTGTATAGACTTCATTAAGAAATACATGAACAATAATAATAATGTTATTAGTGCATTTTTAAATAAAATAATAGTGAATTAAATTTATTATATAAAACAATTTTTTTATATACCTTCAATTCTTCTTCAATCTTTGATAGTCGTTCTTCCCATTCAGATAATTTCAATTCGCCACCATGTATTACTCCATAAGGATGCGTAGTAATTAAAGTTGTTAATAATTTGATGGAATTTCTTCGAACATGACAACTTTTATCCTCAAGAGACCGAACAACCAAGTCTGTTAATGTTTGTCTACGTTTTGGAAATTTTGCCTTTAATCTAACAATAACAACAACAACGTGTATATATATATATATATGTAAAACATTAGCAATGACATTGATTGATAATGGTAGGGATAATTAATTTTGAAATAATATATATGTGTGTGTATATATATCATAATTTAAAACCCACTTGCATAGCTTCAAATATACTTGTAATAATCTAGAGCGACAAAGGGCATTTACATCTAGAAAGCGTTCTTCAAGAGCATCAAAGAAACTATTTACTTGGCTTTGATTTAATTGCATGTCATCTTCATTGTTGACCAAATATGTAATGAGATTACCAAGTGTTTCCATCAAACAGGATCTCATTATATAGGACTATTAATAAAACTCAATTAAAATTTGGTTTATGGAATTTTTAAAACAAATCCATACATGTATGCTGTTAAAAATATTTACCTCACTATCTAATTGAATAACGAGAATACTGATTTGTTTCATCACCAAATTTGGTATAAGTTCTGATAACTTTATTAGAAATTTTGAAAAGGATTTTGAAACATTATTATTATCCTGACTAGTGAATTCTTTATTCGAAATTTCTCTGTAAATGATAGTAAAAAAATTATTTTTATTTAAATATAATTCATATAAATAATTTTTATTTAAATATAATTCATATAAATAATGTATGTATGTATGTATGTATGTGCATATTTAAGTTTACATTAAAACATCTTCGACTAATTGTGTATTGTCATATTGCTCAACAAGTACTTGTAAGAGCTCTGCCATTGAATCTGAAAGAAAATCATAATATTGCAAATTCTGAATAATATATGTTTTAGCATCTAACCAGTTTAACATTACGTTGGTTATGTTAGAAGAAGATTGATTTTAAGTTGGTTGCTAATAAAATGAAGATGATATAAATTATTACCAAATCCATGATTATAATCCTTTACACTTATTGAAATAATTTCATAAATCAAATTTTTGATAGATGTAGCTTTTATGTTGTTGACATTTCCCAACATCTTGTAAGCCGTCTTGGTAAATAAACTAATAGGTATAAATTAACAAACATATATTTTTAAGACAAATAAGTAAAATGTAAAAAAAAATAAATGAACGAATACCTAATAAATATTTCTCTCTCATGAGTTGTAGTCCAGACTCTTTTAATTCTTGAACCCAAGATCTTTTTCATTAAAGATAATGCCTCTTCTTTTTGACAATTCCAATCCCATTCATAAGAGTTGGCATTCACAGAAGAACTAGATTTTGGCCTTGACTGTTTTGGCCTTGGTTGTTTTGATTTTGATTTAGTCTTTTTAGCAGCTGACATATTTGTTGTTTCTAAAGACCCAGTCACGCCAATTTTAGAATTTATTTTATTTTCTACGTCAGTGATCAACCAAAATAACAAAAAGCCATATATTTCCAAAGTTTTTTTGTGATCATCAAAGTTCTCCTCATTATCATTATTCAAATCTTCAATCAGAGCATCATATTCAGATTTTAATCCTATACAAAAATTTTAGGATTAATTATTATTATTATTATCAATATTAATATTAATTAATATTTTATGATACCTGAAAAAATAATCACAAAAACTCGATTCATAATCTCAGAGTTTAAAGAATTGAAGTATCTAATTTAGGCAAAGCGAAATTTTCTAATAATGTCAATAATATCAATAATAACACTAATAAAATTATAGTAAAATAGAAAATTAACCAACTTTACAAAACTACGAATAACATCAAATATCTCTTCATTTGTTATCGAGTAAGGATCTTCGCCCAGTTTATCTTCAATAACTATAAAATTTATGTATGATGATAATAACAATACATATATAAATAAATAATTTAAACTATAATTATTGGTACTAAGTATTAGAAAAGATACCATTCAACATTTCATCAAGTTCTTCCTTGCTTAAGTCTGCGACAAATATTTCATTTGAAATAGAATAATTTGCATCATGAAGATTTAAAAGTTCTTGATGTAAAGTAAATGCTTCCGCCATTATTATTATTCTCCGTTACTTTACAAAATATATTAATATTAATATAGATAGATAAAATAAATATACACGCGACAGACTGTGTTTGTTTACGTGATAAAAATCAAAAAAGTAATGATCTACCCCTTTGGTGTAAATATTTAAATAATGGGAATTGCTATTTCTCACCGGTGGTGATTGTCACCACCTAAGGAATTATACAATTTATGATTAACCCCAACCCTAACTCCGCCCCACGCAAATTTAATTCCTTAGGTGGTGAGAAATAGCAATTCTCTTAAATAATAATAATAACCCTTTTTTTTTTACAAACATTTATTTTAAATTTTTTTTTTACTTGGATATTATAAAATAATTTATGATTTTAAATCTTTGATGGGTAGTTTAACGATTGATCGAGCAATACAATGGCAAATAAGAATATAATGGAAGAAACCAAAAATAGGATTTAAAATACTCAAAAGTGAAATATACATATATATAAAACCAAATTTATTAAAATTATTAATAATATTTAGAATAAATGATGTAAATGATTGAATAGTAGCAACGAGTAGAAATTATTATCATTATTATGGATGATAGTTAGGTTTCTTTTTTTTTTAATATTAATATTCAGAATAGTCAGCGATATGGATGATGTGAATATTTGATAATGCTTGTTCTACTATATAGGTCAGTTTCTTTTTTTTTTTTGCTTGTGTTGCTTTTAAGTTTCACTGTTTGTATATTTCTGGAACAACTAGAGAAATAAAATAATCAAAATTTGTATTATATATTAAATATATTAAATCTAATTTATTTATTTATTTAAATCTAAATAATAAAAAAAACTATTAGAAAGCCTTAAGATTATCTATTATTTCATAAAAAAAGTTTTCCCCCTATCTATGATGTATCCAAGTTTTGATTATGTAACTTATCTAATCTATTGATATATTATTTATGCCAAACAATATGATCATGTGAAAAATCAGGAGAGAAAACGATTTTGATATCTTTTGCATCATATCTTAAAGGTGCTATGTGATGAGACTTAAACGCCATGCCTTTCTCTTTACCATATTTTTTAAATGCATCAAGATACAAATTATGATCTCCTAAACAACGTAATGTTATTTCCTGAATATGTGAATTACAATTTTTCAAAAATTTTTGAGTGGAATCAAAAGAAAAGGCACAAATTGTTGTCAGTTCAAACTTTTTCAACGATAAAGGTGTGAATTCGGCTAATCTTGGTAACAATTCATTATCAACTCTGTCGCCTGAATTTGGTTTTCCTTTTATTCTAACAATTTGCAATTTCTTACATTTTTTAAAGAGATTTGATAACTGTGGTAAAGGTTTTTGCGTCGCTTTAATATTTAATTTTACAAGATTTGGACAATTGTCAGCAATTATATCAATCATATGAGGATATCTTTCTAAATTGCCAACACCGCCATAACTTAACTCTCTTAAACTTTTACTGGAATTAATAACAATTGAAGATAATTCATATTCAGGTGGTATAGAAGAAAAAAAGTCCAACACTTTCAATTTGTTCAATGCATCTTTGCTACTAACAACTAATGGTTTTAATAAAGAACTTGTCAATTCACGACATGCATGAAATTTTAATTGTTCCAAATTTTTACATTGAGTAACACCCTTCAATAATTTCTCGTCAGTATTGTCTAAATTACAAATGTTTAATTTCAAGAACTTTAAAGAATCCGATTGTGATTCAAGTGATTCCAGAACTCTTGATAGTTGAACACCTTGTGATATAGTGAATTTTTTCAGATTTTTTTGTGATTTAATGAGATCAATTAAGGCATCAGTTGCAGGATCATCATAATAGATGCTAATGATCTTCAACTCTTTGATAAGCTGGCAACATTTAGAAATAAGAATAAAAATATCTTTTTTAATAATATTATTGCCACACGTAAACTTTCGTAAATTTGACAGTCTATTATTATAACTTATGTTTTTATTTAAAGATGCAAAAAATAACGATGATGATAATGATGATGAGGAGGATGATATCGACACTGATGATGAAGATGAAGAATAAGATTGTGATGACAGTGGTGATGATGATGATACTATATTGATCGTATCATACCAAATATCATCAGTAAACCCAAGCGTATCAATGTCTAAACGTTCCAAACATTTTGATTGATTTAAAAACAATTTATATAGTTCTTTTGCAACAACAATCATTAAATTTTGATTATCCTGACCAAGAACGATTCTTTGGTAGTATCCAGTGTTATCAGTCATGTTTGATGAATTTGATAAAGAAGATACCCAAACTGCCGACATTCTAATCAATTTATCACAACTAAATCCTCTTAAATATAATGGGTAATTAAAAAGAGGTTTGTTAAATTGTATATTACCACCATTGTCACCAATATTATCACCACCATCACCACTTTTTGATGATATTAATTTAATGCCGATTAAAGATCTTGATTCTTCGGATAAAAATGGAAAATAAGAAGGAACAAGAAATGGTGAATCAAATTCTCCTCTATGAGTATTAATGAATGTCCATCTCCATAGTATAGACACGGAAATTACACACCAAGCTTTATTTACAAGCAAACAAGAATGTAATGAATAAATATCATACTCTAGATTTAAAATAATATTTTCTAAACATTCATAAGGTAGCATTCTATTTTCCTTCTCTAAAGAATAATTGTTTAAAAGTTGTTTTTTTTATTCCAAAAATGGGGGGGTTCGCAACACAAATTCATGAACATTAACCGGTTTCCCCAATTTATAAACTTTATTTAAGATTTTTTTTTTTATATTTTTTTTATTTATTTTTTTTTTTATAAACAAACCTCGTCTTTGATTCAAATTCTTAATTAATTTAATTGATTTTTCATAAACCTCTCCTCAAAAAAAAAAAAATTTTTCACCATTCCTTTTCATCAATAATTTCCTCAAAAAGCCTAAATCACAAATAATAATACACAATGTATAAATATTCTGCGCCAACTTCACCGACTCTTTCCGCAAGAACATCACATTCTCTCACTCATTCAATTAGAACAGCTGAGGCGACTTCTGGTAAAATGGTCATTCTTACTCGCGCTGATATACGTGCCTCACTTGAAGCATATGAACAGCTTTTGGCTTCTGCAAAGATATACAGGAATCAAATGATAGCTCTTTCACAGGCCACCGCTAATTTTGGTCAGTCATTGGAAAGAATTGCTCGTTGTAAAGGAGCTTTAGAAGATGGTTAGCATTGAACAATTATTACCATGAGATGAATTTATTTATCATTTTACCAATTATGGTAATTCTTATTCATGCATTTATGCATATTGGTTCAATTGGTTATTTATTAGGACCAAATTTTCAAGCTGCTGCTGGCTTACATTTTCTTATGTCAAATCATTATCAACTTTTGGTAATTTACATACGTACATATGCGTGCATATTTAAATCATTATTTATTCATCCATTAGTGATTTAAAAAAATTTTTTTTTTGGTTGATAGGGTGATACATTTTACAAAAATTTTGAAATCCCATTGTTGGAAAATCTTGATACGCATAAATCAACAGTCATTGCAAGCGAGGAAAATTATGATAATACATTAACAGAGATGAGTAACAAAATTAAAGAAACGGAGGCAGAAAATTTACGGATTGGTCTTAAACGTCAAAGAGGTAAAAAAATTTAAATATCGTCATCGTTATAATTTGGATTTATTTAATTAATGATAATAATAATAATAAATATATTTATAATTAGATCTTACACAGTTTCGTAGAGTATGTATTTTGAATATAGAGGGGAAAAGATGATTATTTGTAAAGATGTTTTTAATTTAATCTAATTTTAATTTAATTTTTTTCTCCCAAAATAATTGTAACTATAATTGTGTTATTGAAAAAAGGCTTTACAAGATTTGACTAGACAAGTAGAAGATTTAGATCGGATGAAAACTGAATATCACAGGCAAACATTAGAAACTGAACAAAATAATCTTAAATTTATTCTTTCAAAAGTCTCGACAGTTATTAAGGCTGAAGTGGATATTTTTGATAGAATATCTAGTAAAGGTTTAGCGGATCCCTTGTTAGACACCGTAAGTAATTTATTAATAAATATATCAAATTAAATAGTTGAATTGGTTTATTCGTCCATTTCCATTAACTCCTTTTGTTTTTTTTTAGATGGTAACACAAGGTACTGATCCTTTCTGCACATATCAAACTGCAGATCAATTTTCTGAGATATTTAGCGTTCTTCCACCAGTTCCAATAATCAATCATACTGCCGACATTTCAAGCACAACCACAACAGTACTAAACAGTTTTTCAAATGATTTTCAAATTTATAGTGATGAGAATAATTATTATCGTCCACAATTATCAACCCAAAAAGAAATTGTTGGTGATGATGATGAGGCTCAAGGAACCTCTAAGGGTGTTTTTTATTCAAATAATCATCACTCTAAAAAAATTTTCTCGAGTGTTAATAGCAATATTATTAACAATAATCTTTTAATTAATAAAGTGGTGATGGAGGAGGATGAGGAGGAGGAAACAGAAGCAGAGGGAAAAGAAAGCAAAAATAACTTTGGATCTGAAAATACACCTATGTTAAAGGATAATAAACAAAATACAACTATAGTAACTTCCATTGACATTAATAAATCATCAAAAAAATCATCATTATTATCATCGCCTAATAATATCAACAATAATATAGCAATGAATCCAGTACAACATCTACAGTCATCATCACTCGTCAACTCTGTTATATCTCCATTTGATCATCAACATTTTGACAAGTCAAATGAAAGCGCAATAAACATTCCGGATGATGCCGATATATTAAATAACAAAGAATTCAAATTTGGAAGTGTTGATGATAGTAGATTTGGTCAAAGTTTAACTAAAGATTCATCGTCATTATTGTTTGTACCAAATGATGAAATAATGAAATGAAGAAATAGAGAATAATAATAACAACAACAATATTGTTGCAAATAAATATTTAATATTTATTATTTAATATTTAAATATCGACAGTTTTCTTCATTTATATATATTATGTATAGCAACTATTTCATTCTATAATGTATTATTTTTTTTTTTTAAATTGTACATAATTATAATAAAATAAAAACTAAATTAGTCAATATTACAAACAATAAATAATCATTTATAAAATAACAATAATAATAATCATCGATGACAATGTTTCTACTTTTATTTGACATTGGAGGTTTGTTTAAAGCTGCTAGTCTCAAATATCTAATCCCTTGCTAGTTTTCCATTAAGATACAAATTAAATTGGGCGGTGGAATTTGAATTTGAATTCTCAGCTGCCAATCTGAGATAACGAATAAATTCTTTGTTAAATTGTCTTTATTTTCAAAGAATGAGAATGTATATCTTAATTTAAAATATTTGACTGTCGATGTTTTATCTTTGTAACCAGCATGCCCTTCTTACAAATAATAATATGCTTTCCGATATTTTGCAACTGGATTGCTTAAATCTGCATGTGCTTGGAAATATGTCCGTGCGCTTTTGTAATCTTTTGTTTTTATGAGCAATAATATCTTCATCAAGAGAAATAATTAGTATAAACGTTTCATATTTATGTAATTCATTGTATTTATTATCATAACCTTCGTAACTTACAGAAACTAATCTTTGTCTTGTCTTGGAGATTTATAAGTATCTATAGACTTTGACGGAAATAACCCTGTTTCAGCAGCAGAACTAGGGAATGCCGCTGAACTTAAATCATCCAATCGAAGGAAAATCTGTTGAAGTGATGATCTTAATAAAGGATGGAGGGTAAATAAATAAATAATTGCAAAACAAATAATAATAATAATAATAATAAGTTAAAGATAATTTCAAATACATAAATACATAAATAAATTTGTTTGTGGATTTAATTATTAACCGTACCTCATACAATAATTTCGAGCACGTTGAAGTTCTTTTAGTTTCTTTCATCTGTTTTACAAAATTGTATATTTTCTCTACCACCAGCTGATACATAATCTTTAATATTAACTTTATTACATCCCGTCTTCATAGGGAGTTCTTTCAAATGCAGTTCCCAAAGCAACATACCATAACAAACATTAATAAAATCCAATTGATTAATACACCACTTTTAAACTTGAAGTCCATTTTTCAATTTTTCAGGATAAATTGTATCACATGAAGAGTTTTAGCGCGGTCTTGGTAATTTTAGGTTACAATTTTATCCACTAAATAAAAACTACATCAAGGAGAATATGGCAGAGTGAAAAAATGTAAGATCATGACGAGTTTCAAGAGCTATTTCAAATTTGGAATGTCATATTTCTCATAAAATTCTTTCAAACTACCCATTTCTGCCCATTCAAGAACCATTACTAATGTAGAAGCGTCAACAACGCAAATACCATAAAATTTTAATATATTACAAGAAGGGTCCTCCAAGTTGGTCAGATGATGATATTTTGGTTTCTTCAATAGGATCTCTTTCGTCCACAGTTTTGCAATCAAGCGAATCTATTTGACTTTTTATAATCATTACTTCCTTGAAGTACTGGATTAATTTGTTTGCTAATATCAAAAGAATACCAACTTGAATGGTTTCTAAAAACCATAGATATTTTAAATTTAACAGATGATAAAATATCTCTTTAAAATCTTCCTGTACGTTTTGTTTATCAATTTCATTTTGTCTTTGAACAGTTATTGTAAAATGTAAATCTTTGCATAGCATTATCAAAAATTCTCTGGTAAGTGATTCAAATCTTTCCTTAACGCTGTTTTCATTAATAAATTTTTTATATCCATAAAGTTGAGTTGCATCCTCAAGGAAACTTTCACCTTACTCAAATAAATTAGCAAAACGTAGAAAATTTTTATAACATTTCATCACAAAATCCTTTTTATATTCTTCTATTCTACATTTTAGAATTTTAATGGATAATGATCGAGCAGCTTCTACGCGATCAAGAAAAGCATTGCATGTTATTCTAGTGTTGAGCATTTCTATACACTTTAAAGATATCTTCTGCTAAAATAGTTACCATGCCTATAAATGGAACAAAAGGTTTAAATGCTTCAACTGCATCAATTACACCGAGTGCTTGTTTAGCTACATCTAAATTATTGTTAATTGCAGAAACACTTTCAGCAACTTCTATTCCACTGGCCATAACTTTTGAAGTGTGCATCTACAATCACACCTACTGTCGACGAATTGGTTTCTTTTTATTTTTCTGGAGGAAAAAACCCCATGTTTATAAAAAAAGTAAATTTTTCACAGAAGCGTGCAGGTCGCTATAATAAAATTTCTTTAATATTATTAATATGTTACAGAGAAAAAAACAGTCAGTTATTTAATATCTTTGATGTTCAATGAACAATATAATAAACATTATTGATAAGTTTTATGAACATTTGTTAATTAATAAATAATTTTCAGTTAAACAATCAAAATGTGATAGTAATTGTTCTATAGTCATGTTTTCAATTGAACTTTCATCACGCTGACGAACATTAACAGTTTGAGTGGCTTGTTCTTTTTCACCAACAACCAAAATAAAGTTATATTGTGCTAACTGTGCAGTTTTAATCATCTTACTTAAGCTATTGTCTGAATTATCTATATCTATGAAATATTGAAAGTGTCTTTTACTATTTGATAAAGATTGCTTAACCTGATTTGCATAATCCATAGATTTTGTTCCACCTATTGGAATAATTATTGCTTGTCTTGGACTCAGCCAAAAAGGCCATTTCCCGCCGGTGTGTTCTATTAATATTGCCATCATACGTTCTATTGATCCAAGTATGGCACGATGTATAATGATTGGTGTTTTATCTGAGCCGTTTTCATCTCGATATTTTAATTTGAATCGTTTTGGAAGTTGAAAATCCAATTGAATTGTTGCTGTTTGATGCATACGATGGTGAGCATCTTTTACCATTATGTCAATTTTTGGGCCATAAAAAGCTGCATCTCCTGGATTCAGTGTCCATTTTCTTCCAGTTTGATTCAATGCCTTTTTAAGTGATTCCTCAGCAATATCCCATTCTGAAAGTTCACCAATGTAAGTTGATTCATGTCTTGTAGATAAAACCATCTCATAATGTGGAAACTTGAAATCATTATATACATTTTCTAAAAATGACAGTGTTGAAGATATTTCCTCATATATTTGCGATTCCCTACAAAATATGTGTGCATCATCTTGATGAAATTGTCGAACCCTAGTAAGACCAGTAAGTACTCCCGATGCTTCATTTCTATTTAAAAAAAGTTTTTTTTAAAATGTGAATAAAGCAGATGAATAAATAAATATTTAATAAAATTCATGTATGAATAAATAATTGTTTCACATACACTAATACCTGTGCAATGATCCAAAGTCTGCAAGCCTTAATGGCAAATCACGGTATGATTTTGAACTGTTATCAAATATCAAACAATGACCAGGACAATTCATAGGTTTCAAACCAAAAACATTATCTGATTTGGGCTTCACATTGGAATCGTTATCGTTGTGGTGATGATCGTTTTGAGTTGAAATGGATTTTTCATGAACAGTAAACATATCACTCTGGTAATTTTGCCAGTGTCCAGACATTTCCCATAAATCTTTTTTGAAAATCATAGGAGTCATGACTTCTTCAAAACCATATTCCTTATATTTTAAACGAATATAACTTTGTAATTTATGGAAAACGCGCGTTCCATGAGGAAGCATGAAAATAGAACCTGGGCTCCAAGGATGTACTAAAAATAATTGCTGTGATTTTCCTATCGCTCTATGATCTTTTTTATTGGCTTGTTGTTGATCTTCTTTCAGGGAAGATGATTCTTGACTGTTTGAAGAAGAGGCACAAGTATGAGATTGTGAAGATTTTTTATCAATTTCAAGATATGGTGTACAAGAAGCATTAGCACTTTTTGTCAAGTTTAGATGGCCAGTTTCTGGAATATGCGGAACATCTTTTAACAATTTATTACCATTATCATTTCTTTCAATAATTAATTTTTCTCCATTACTATAAAGACTACTTAGATAGCTTTGCCGTTTTAATGTCGCCAATTCATCCTTTGATTTTTTTATAAATTCCAAAATTTTATATGGTCTAGTTTCGAATTTATTTTTACTAAAACTATCTCTAGTATGTCGATAAAAATAATCTCGAAAATTATAACTTGAAAAATTTTTACTAGCCTTAAGTAATGACTGATAAATATGTAAAATTAGTGTTTTATTTGTACTATGTGTTGCCATTGTTATCAATATTATTATTATAATTTAAATAATTAAATCTATTCCTTCCTATTTATTATTTATCATTTTGTCATTGAAAAAATTTTGCAAGATCAAAAATTCTTGAAGATCTTTTTCGTTATCAAAAAAGATAAAATTATCTTTATTTTTGACATTAAATCACAATTTTAATATTTTTTTTTCTTTTTCCCAGTGTGAATAAATTCACGCGTTTGGAAAATGTTGACATTAATGTATTTCTTCTTCTTTACAAACTTACCAAAACAAGTATACCTACAAGAAGGTATTTGAGTTATGTTCTTAAATAACAAACTATTTGATATTTGTAGGTATATATAGTAACAAAACTTACTGACTATAAAAATGTAGAAGCGACGTTTCCTACGATTGATTGATATCATGAATAAATTATTATCTTTGAAAGAAAAACAATTCCTCTTCAAAATGCATTCGCGTTTACCATCCACGAAATTCAAGGATCGACCCTACCTCATATGTAACCATATCTGTGGATGAAAGTATCTTTTCCGGAGGTCAAGTATATGTAAGCAGAGTAAGTTCTTTTTAGATAGGCTTCATATCTTAAAGTTTGATCATGGGATTAAATGTATTTGTCGTGAAAACACTGAACTCATCTTGCAGCTTCTGCTCGATTAAACATTTGTTATTATTACAAGTAAACGAAAAGTTTGATTCATCTTTATTATTAGTGCCAGTAAATTTCGGAGTTGAAAATGTAATCAATCTCAAACTTTTGTTTTGACAAATTTTTTTTTGTTTAGAAATGCTCAAGTACCATATAATATCTGCAACTGAACATTCTGAATTGAGTTTAAAGAATTCAGCTTCCTCGAGAGTAAGATTTCGAGAAATCAAAAATCTGTATTTTTGATAACTAAAGCTTCAGCCTTAATCTCGTTACGAACTTTTTTTTAAATTCTTTGACTTTCATCCATTTTTATTAATTTGAAATTCGCTCCAGTCCTGGCAACAAGGCTACATGAAATCTCGATAAAATTTCTTGCAGACAGACGTTTCTGATGCTCGACTTTAATGAATTATAATACAGCAGGTAATTGATCAAGTTTTATAGGAAAAAATAGCTTTATCCCATTCGCGATGTCCCTTTACTGCTGTAGGCTGAGCAATCGCAAGCTCTGTACGAATATTTTCATGACCAGATGGGCGAAAAGGCTCATTGGAATTTTTCTGATAAAAAAGAGAAATTATACGCTTTTCACAATTGCGAATTCGGAACATCATCTGGATAAATGCTTTGACGCTGACTGGAGTTGCAATATTTGTAATTCCTACAACTATGTCAAAGTGATTAGATTTCTCAAAAGAAATACCTGTATTTGTATAAGCTACACAATTGAGTTTACCCCAAGCTGCATTAATATCAAAGAATTCATTTTTTCGTTGCTTTCCATCAATATCGTACGAGCTTTGATGAATGAATTATCGGCCTACATAATTTAGAAGCTTTTTTACTAATGCTTGGGCCATTACAGGACTTGTTACAATAAATGACACGCGTTTACCCTGCTTCAAAAATCCAAACCCTATTCGTATAACTTCATCTTCACTATTTGGATCATAAGGATATTTAACAGTCTTACCTATAAGAGGCTGGAATTTATCATCAATCACTTGCCCTATATATAAAAAATTTTTTATGGGATATGTACAGAATCATACATGAAAAGAGAGCCCTTTTCCGTACATATTTGTCCTGAAAATGTCCTGAAAATACATTACGTACATTTTCCTGTACATTTTCAGTACGTTTTCGGTGCTTAGCATCTACGGAAATGCACATATTTAAAGAACCGGTTTATATTCGATGCGAGTCGGTGTGTATACATGTAGTTCTCGGGTCTGTAAAACACAACACAGTTGGATGCTGACATTACGAAAATCCAATCGAAAAATAGTATAATAATAACATCAATGTGTTGGATCAGAATCAAAAGAAAAATCAACAATCACAAATGTGACTTAACAACAACAACAACAACAACAACAACAACAATGATAATAATAATAATAAAGGAAAAAGAAAACCTCCAATTCGAAATATTTTTCTGCTCCAGAACAAGAATTAGAAATTGTATTTATTCAAATATTATTGTAAATTTTAAAGAAATAAAATTTATCATCCATAGATATTTTAACATCTTTGCCCTTGTTATTAATGTTATTGTTACTAGAATCTAAATTTATTAATTAATTAAATGAGAATTAACAATTAACAATTAAATTAATTTATTAATGAAATTTGTATTTATTTACCTTTGTTAAAATCAGCGTTTAAGAGAATAGAGTTTATATCAAGATTATTTAATGAACTACTATTACTTGTATAACTTTTCATACTTTTTGACTTGGTAACTTCATCATTCAATATTCTACTTGTATGATATGCATCTGGATGTGGTTTGCGAATTGCTACTAGTACTATTACTACTAATACTACTATTAATAATATTATTAAAAATTTCATTGCGTTTATTTTCAGCAAATTTGAAAAGCTCTCCAATAGTTGGTCTTTTAGATGGATCCACATCCCAACATTTCTGCATCATTTGTACATAATCATCAGACATTCCAGGTAATATTGGTGGTCGTAAATGATAATTATGACCTCTATCATCAAATGGTGGATGGACTGCAAATATTTCCCACATAAGCATCCCAACACTATAGACATCTGTTTCTTTGGTGTTCTTTGCATTAACTTTGGCTCCAAGTAGCTCAGGTGCAACGTATGATATAATTCCATAGATTTTATTTGATGATTTTTCATCAACTGGTCCACATAGTCCTAAATCTGTAATATAACAATTACTTCCTTGTATTAATATATTTCCACTATGTAAATCACAATGGATTAAATCTTTTTCATTTAATGAAGTACATAAATAATCAAAGATTGTAATTCTATCTTTTAATGTTAAATTATTTTGTAATAATCTCTTAAATTTCCTTCTTGATGATAATTAAGAATCATTGCATAATGTCCATTATCCGGGAATTTAGTTATAATTTTACAATAATTAATTGCCTATAATTAAATATCAAACCAATTAGTATTATATAATACAGTGTTATTTATTTTTGATTTAAATAAAAATTATCCAACCTCATCAAAAAATGCTTTTCCTGGGTTAATTGAATTATTTAAACATTTTAATACTACATCAAAAGTTCCACTATAACAAAATTCATTTTCAATTCATCATAATCAACTATATTTCCCCTTGTCCATGCAGCAAAATAAACTGAACTAAATCCACCTTCAGTTAATTTTATAACATATTGGAAATGATCAAAAGGTATCCATTCTAAAATATAATCTGGCAGAGATGATTTTATTTGACATTGTTGAATAAAGTCATCAACTATGTTATTTCCAGATGTCCAAGTAGTGAAAAGACTCTATAGTTTCAAGCCAATAGAACCTTCACAGAATCTATCAGAGTATTTAGTTGATTTACACTTGTTGCATTCTTTTGGTTTTCCATCTTTATAAGTTACATTATTTAATTCAATACCATAAATTAACCATTCTTTACAATATTGTTTTTCACTTTCAGAAAGCTCTTTATTTTTTTTCAACTAATGAAAAAAAATAATCATTTCTACTTCCATCATCAGAATTAACCAGAGCATTATTATAAATTTCAGCTTTCTTTCTAATGATAATAATTTATGAAATGACATTTTAACTTTATTTAATATCTTTTTATAAATTTATTGGAAAAAGGTAAAATTTAATCGAAAATCTTCTGGTCAACATTTCTAACTTGTATGTGTGAAACTACGTGAAAATTAAAATTTTAGGGATATGACTAATTTGAATTTCATATAAATTTCATTTTCACGCACAACATTATAAAGAATTCATCATAATTTTCTTTTTTATGTGATATATTTATTTCGTGTATGTTTATGTGCAAAAAAACAAACACCACTCTTAATAATTTTCGTGGTATTTACTCCAGGTATATATATATATGGATGAAAGAACCATCTTCCTGTACGCCAATGTTTCATTAAACTCAAAAATTTCTTCATTTTGACATTGTTCAACATATCCAAGAATATTCAACATCTAATTTGATATGATGGCGAGTACTTTCAACTACTACTTTTTCTAGAATATTCTTGATAATACTGTTTTCAACTGAGACACATTTATAAAGGGATTGTCTGGCTGGTATTTTGGACATGTAATTAGTTTGATGAAAAAATATCTTGAGCAAACGTTTTTGTAACTTGCATTCTATTATTTTGAAACATGATAAATTGTTTTTTTTTTATGGCTTAAAAAAACCTTGTGTTAATAATAATATTGGACTGTCACATAATCACCATATCTTGTTTCACATGCATACACACATATATTAATATTATTTTTGGCAATATCAGTAATTTCAATAGTTTTATTTTGTTTGTGATTGCTTGAGCTTGCTCTCTATCTGCTGATAATTGTTGACATTAGATGTTGTACAGGTCAAAGGATGCACACAATTTCATTTATATTTAAATGTAAAAATTATAATCGCTGTGTCTACCTGTATGAAACTTTAAAAATAACTTATCATTCTATTATTGGCTTCTGGAATTGCATCATAATACTTTGTTTACAAATCGAGTTAAAATTTTACAAGTATCCCTAAAATAAAAGCACAAAAAATTATAATTAATAATTATTTGGACAACCCTGATTTCACGTGATATTTCCCATACTAGAATTTACTATAAATAACGCCCAAAACTTACTTCCCAATCAACCCCTTTTCCCAAATCTGAAAAAAAGTATGATTTCAAAGGTTTTTTTATTTTTATTATTAATCACGTTTGCCTCGGCTAGTAAGTCTCGATGAAATATTTTTTAAATTTAAATTTTTTTTTTGATTAATAATACAATTTTAATTAAAAAAAAAACAAATTTTATTAGAAATTGTAAATCAAATTGATACTCCAGGGGGTAAAATAGCCACTGATATACTTTATACGATAACATGGAGTTTAGCTGGTACACCTAAAGCCCTTGGCGTTTTAAAAGTGATTAAAAGTCCAGAAATGATTCCCAAAACTATTAGTAATAAAGTGGATCTTAACGCAAAAGCATATGTTTGGAAAGTGGATGTTGTACCTGGAACATACAGTCTTTCATTGAATGATGGCCTTGTAGACAATCTTTCTGGTATTTTTGATGTATATGATCCAAAGGCACCACCATCAACATCTATTGCAACATCAACAACACCTATTGAAACATCAACAACACCTATTGAAACAGCAAAAATATCAACAAGTGATACTCCTACTAGTAGCGTCAATGAAACTTATGCTTTATCACCCACTTCCACCGCAGTTACAAGGTAAATTATATATAAATTCATTTTTAAAATTTTAAACTTTTTTTTGTTGATTAACTAACCGACTGTAAATAAAATTAATTTTTCAGTGACAACCCAGTTACTGTTACTCCGACCCCACAGTCAGCAATTGGTTCTAATTTAAACATTAGCCATATTTTTTCATTTAACATTATAATATCAATCATTATTTTTATTATTCAAACAATGTTTTGAAAAGTTAAATTTGTTGTACATTGTTAATACTTAATATTAATATTAGATTACCACCTTAATTTGATAATATTTTTGTTTTATTTGATGTCTTCTTATTTATTAAACATTTGTTCGTGAGAATTGTGCAGACATCATTATTATGTCATACAAAAAATTTCAGGGATTAAAATAATTTTTCTTTTGAAATTTTGGCAATGTGGCACAAAAATAGGACACACAAGATTTAAATTAAATCTTGGCATAAGGGGATCATAACAACAATAGAAATGTTATATAGAGTTAACAAGTTCAGGATTCTTAATATTGACTTGCTGCAGAGTTGATTTTCATCAATCTTAAAAATGAAACCTTCACCCGTTTCAATCGAATAACTATCGTTCGGAGACCTTTCTTTTTTATATTCAAACAAACTGGGTTGTAATTCACCAGTTTGTTTAATTCAAAGCCGATCTTGCAAATCCATCCATCTTGAGTGTCATATTGCGTGAATAGCTTTTTGGTTAATACCGATTACTTTACGTTTTATGATATTTATGTTGAAAACAACTTGCAAACTTTACAATTGATACCTAACCACAAACAGATTCAAGATCCTATATATATCTATATATATATCAATAATTTATTTATAACTCAGAATTTCCATAAATATTAAAAAAATTTTTATATACATATTCCCTTATATAAAAGAAATTTAAAAAAGATGACAATGATAAAAATTAAACTATTGTCCGCATTTCTAACAAAAAGCTATAATAATGGTAAATAGAATGATTTTTATAAAAAACAATACTGTGCAGCATAAATAAAAAGCAGAGAAACGATTATTCTATCTTTTAATATTAAAACAGAGTTTTAAAAACACCCATCGCCGATCAATTCATGAATTAGTTTGCCTTTTGAAGATAAATTCTTCTGAATATATATATATAAAGAATCCATTTGGGATCCACATACTAGCCTAATACCAAGTGAATTTTCCGAAAGCTTATTTAATGCGGATGATGTCATTTGGGGCATTCCCCTAAAAAATTTTTTCAAAGATTTTCTTTTAATAATTAAAAAGCAAGATGGTAGCAAAACAACCAAAATCAGGTTTATTTATAGGCTTAAATAAAGGTCATAAAGTAACGCCTAGAGAATATAGACCAAAACCTTCTCGAAGAAAAGGGGTAATTAATTTGAAATTATAAAAATTATAATTCTTTTAAATATA